TTTGAGAAAAATGATCCAGAATTGCAGAACTACTTCACATTAACTGTATGGGAATTACTTGCTCCTTTCTTCCACAAAAACAGTAAGAGAGCCTTTATCATTTTATTTGCCAAAGTTAAGATATTCTGTATTTATGGCCTTCCCTTTTCGAAATACAGAAACAATCAAAATCAGAACTTAGTGTATTCTATATGGCCTGGTCTTAATGCATTCATGTTGGTTTCTAGAGATCTTTGCTTCCAAACAGTTCTGTAATTGATCCCAGAATGGGTCTAAAATCTACACGGAGATTATACAGATTAATAGCTTCCAAATTCTACCTTTTCCAAAAAGGTAAGACTTGTCCATCCATTTCTGGCTTTCTATCATTGCTTCTACTTACTATGACTTTTCAGAGATTGCCAGCAATGTTTCTGGGATTATATTTGCACATTTTTTTCAATATCCTGCTTATTTTCTTCAGGATATTTTGGTATATTAACCAACTATGTGAGGCTCTTTCTATATAGCAGAGACTGAAAATGGATGGATAATTTTTTTCTCTTTTTTTGAGACAGAGTTTCGTTCTTGTTGCCTAGTCTGGAGTGCAATGGCGAGATCTCGGCTCACCGCAACCTCCGCCTCCCAGGTTCAAGCTATTCTCTTGCTTCAGCCTTCTGTATAACTGGGATTACAGGCGTGCACCAGCACGCCCGGCTGATTTTGTATTTTTAGTAGAGATGGGGTTTCTCCATGTTGGTCGGGCTGTTCTTGAACTCCTGACCTCAGGTGATCTGCTCCTCCTCGGCCTCCCCAAGTGTTGGGATTACAGGCGTGAGCCATCGCACCCAACCCGGATAAATTTTTTAAAAAATTATGGCCAAGTGTGATGGTAGTCACAGACCATCACAATGCCTCCCTGCACTTTGGGAGGCTGAGATGGGTGCATAGCTTGAGCTCAGGAGTTTGAGAACAGCCTGGGCAACATGGCAAAACCCTGTCTCTACAAAAAATACAACAATTAGTCAGGCATAGTGGCATGCACCTGTAGTACCAGTTACTTGGGAGTCTCAGGTGGAAGTATGGCTTGAGTTCAGGAGGTAGAAGTTGCAGAGAACCAAGATTATACCACTGTACTCCAGCCTGGGTGACAGAGCCAGACCCTCTCTCTCTCTCTCTCTCTCTCTCTCTCTCTCTCTCTCTCACACACACACACACACACACGTTTGTGTCAGAGAATTTAAATGGAATTTAAATGTCTTTCTTATATAACTTGTCCTGTATTTATTTATTTATTTTTAAGATTGTCGGTCTGACTACTATTCTTCATATTGGAGAAAAAAGAAAAATAGGAACTGAGAATCCTACTTTTCTTCTGTTATTTATTAGCATAGTTTGTTGCCTGCATGATTAAATAATACCTGATGTCCAAGTAGTGGTCCTAACTTGTCACTGCTATTTTCCTTTGTAGAACATAATCTAAACTGTCATTGCTGTTTTTCTTTGTTATCTATGAGGTATGTTGTTACCTGTCCTTGGCATTATTTTATTTCGTGTATGGCTTGGTCCATTCTGTGATAGTTAGCTTTCCTGACAGTATTCATACAATTCTCAACATTCTTATGGGCTCACTCCTAAATGCACTAAAATCAGCATACACTAGTAATGTTTTATCCAGAATAAACCACCATAAAGCAGCACACAACTGATTGCATGCTGTAAGAACTGGATTTATTATTGATCAGAAATTTAACTTTTGCATACGCACAAAAGAAATCCATGTATAATAATTAGTTTCTAAAAATCAAAGTCTGGGCCTTACTGAGCTTGTGTAACAATGACCCCAATAATTGAATAAAAAACTCCTTGGAGGGGATTAAAATAAATAAGTAAATAAATAATGGAATAAAAAAGGCAGCTGTGCTGACTGAAAAGTCAAAGATTAGCAAAAAAAGTGACATGATGCTAATGACAAAGTTAAATAGTTCAAACTTTCATTTATGTGACAAAAATGTGAAACTTACCATCTTAAAATAAGTCATAATCTTATGGCTAATTTTATTGCTTTGTGAAAGGCTTGACTCTGAAAATGAAAAAGTTTATTCACTGTCAGATGCAGCTGATTTTAAGCCAAATGAGAAATTGTGATGCAAGAAGTATACAAATGTGTTAAATAAAATAGGATTCTTAAATACTCTAATGGTTGTAAATGTCAGTATTTAGCTAACATTTACTAAGTGCCTACAAATGTCCCAGGCACCGTTCTAAGCACTAAGGATGCTGTAATGAACAAAATAGACAAAAATTCCTGTACTATGGAGTTTACATTCTAGTGGGGGTAAAGTTTGGAAAGTCAGAAAATAAACAAGATAAATAAATAGGTCAAATAGGTAAAACTGTAGGATTTTACAGATCACCACTGTCCAATGGAAATACAATGTAAGCCATATATGTAATTTTCAATTTCCTACTAGCCATAGTAAAGTGTAAAACAGGTGAAATTACATTTTCATAAGCTTTTTATTTTTGAATAATTCTTAATTTACAAAAAATTCCAAATGTATTAAATAGTACGGAGAATTGCTGCAGACTGTTCATTCAGTTTTTCTGTTGTTAAGATCTTGCATTACTGTGATGCATTTTTCAAAACCAAGAAACCAACATTGGTGCATTATCATTAACTAAACCTCAGACTTAATTTGAATTTTACTAATTTTTCCATTAATGTCATCCTCCTGTTTCAGGATCCAGTTTACGGTATCACAGTGCATTTAGTTGTCATGTCTTCTTAGTCTCCTCTGGTCTGTGATGGGGTATATTAATTTTAATAATATATTTTATTTAACTCAATATAGCAAAAATATCATTTTAACCTGTAATTGATATTTTTAAAATTATCAATGTTTATTACTTTTTCTTATTCAGTCTTCAAAATCCAGAGTGTATTTTATACTTAACAGTACATCACATTTCTTACTCAGACACTTTCATTGGAAATACTTCATCTGCATTTGCATCTCACAAAATTTACAGTGGAAAAAGTAGTTTCATATACTTAGGTTGTTCCAAGTATACTTAAAAGTCTTCCAATAAATTCATGACTAATGCAAGTTTAGAAAAAATAAAAAAAATTACTTTAAAAAGTTTTAAAATAATCCCATTAGATATCAGTTTTCAAATTTAAATCTAAATTTAATCAATTAAGGTTAATTAATTTAAAAATTCAGTTCCCAGTTGCACTAGACATATTCAAGTGCTCAACAGGCACTGACCATCATAAGGACTCTTGGTTTTATTCCGAGCTAGAAAGGGAGCACTGAAGGGTTTTGAGCAAAGTAGTGACATAATCTGATTTAAGATGACTTTGCTATGTCAGAGAATAAATTGAGGTGAGGCAAGGGCAGAAGCAGGGAGTCCAGCCAGGAGGCTACTGCACGTAACATCAGGTAAGTGATGAAGGTGCCTTGGACTAAAGTGGTGGCAGTGGAGGTGGGGAGAACTGGTAGGAGTCCAGGAATCTCTTGTGCTAGCCCTGACTCAATCTGCTTATGAATTAGATAAGGGATCTGGATGACACAAAGGTTTTGGGGCTAAAAAATTTAGGATAATGAATTTGTCTTTTTAGATTTTGTAAAAAACATGTTTGGGTAGGAATATCAGGGGCTTGGTTTTGGACATTTTGAGTTCAAGATGCGTAGGAGACATGTAAGTGAAGATAATAAGTAGGCAGTGGATATCTGAGTATGGAGTTGAGGAGAGCTCAGCTGGTGATAAACATTTGGGAGCCATCAACATATAGATGGTATTTAAAGATAGAAGACTGAAGGAGACTACCAAACGAGAGTACAGAAAGAAGTGTTAGGGTGAGGTCGCCCAGCAACAGTATTTTCAGGAAAACGCAAGCTTTGAGATCAGGCCGCAAACAGATCAACGAGAATTGAAAGAATAATAAACTCTTTCCAGGCAAAAGCAGCATTAGATGCAATGGTGCAAAGGTAAGTGATTAGCCAACCATGGTATAGCAAGTCATTTCTGCTCTGCTGAAGCAGAAATACCAGCTAGCTGACACAGAAAGATGCATTAAGTGATTGAGAAGGGCTCTCATGCTGACTGGGTGACTATCCAGAGCTGGGAATGTGAGGGTTCTAAGGACAGCTTTAGAGTTAACAAGTGACAGCTGCAGTTAGTTTCCTATACATACACAAAACCAACCCGTCCTACCACCGAACATATGTCATAATGCTGGCACAACAGACACATCCCTTTTAGTTTTGCAGACGAGGAGTAACTGTTGCCCTGGACCACAAAGCCACTTAGCAGCAGAGCCTCGCACCCGCGAAGATTACTAGGGAGATGTTTTTACCCCTGAGGACACCTGAGCCCTTAAGTGGGGCAGGCTCGGAGGGAGGGGGGCTGATAAGGCGAGTTCAGGCAGGGCAATCATGATGGGCGCTTGAGTTCTGCGCAGAATTTTGACAAGGGGGAGGGTCCTGGCTTGAAGATAACGCAAGGAGTCATTTAAGGATAATGGAAGGGCATAAGCGGAAGCTTAAGGATAAAAAGCATTGAAATTCTTGAGCTGGCGGCAGGGCTGAACGTAGCCCAGTTAAAAGATCCTTTCTTGCCACATCCTCTCTAAGCCAGGCTGTGAGTACCGCGTGGAACGAAGGAGAAGGGTGGCGGTGAGGTCAGTAAAGAGCCGGCCCAAGGTGCATCTTTTAGGTCCGGATGCTGGGAGCAGCCGTCCCCGCCCCTATATTCCTCTCACCAGGTAGGTTTGCCCGGGAGTGGCTACCTCCCAGGCAGAAATTCGGCCTGGTTAAACTGGAAAGAGCAAGAAAGCCCGCCCACTGGCGCCCGGAGAACGCCTGCAAAGTGCCAGCACCCTACCAACCCAGGAACCTCACGGGTGCGAACGCCGCCGCGGGCTCTTCCGGGGCGGGCCTCGCCCGACGCAGGGGGAGGGGCGGCCCCGTCGCACACGAACCAATCACGACAGACGCTTCTACGTGGCTAGCATTGACCAACTGGAGACCGTGGAGATAGCGACGGGGAAATTCAAACGTGTTTGCGGAAAGGAGTTTAGGTTCCATCTTTTCATTTCTTCAGCGCCGCTTCCAGTAGGTAAGTTCTCACCCACCGGCGCACCGGCGTACTGAGGAACGGCCGCAGCCGGTGTAGGGGCTCATTGTCAACGCCGGTCGGTGAGGGGTGGGGCGAGGTGGGGGCAGCTTGCAGCTGGATATGCGACGCGGCTAAACAAGCTGGAGGGGGAGGGGAGGCTCGGTGCCTCAGCGCGTCTGGCCGGTGGGGTGATGCTGGAGGTTTTGTTGAGGAAGTAAGAAGTGGGTGTGGCCCACGCTGGAAAGAAGGGGTGGTGGGGTACCTGCGCACAAGATCGTTTTCCAAGGACGATCTCTCTTGTTTTGCGGGTTGGAACTGGGAAAGAAAGGGGTGGCCGTGATCTGACAGTTACCTTTCAAACCTCTCTTAAAAGGTGGAGTGATACCTTGCTGCAACTTTATGACTTCTTCATTGTTAAATCCGAAGACGGGGCAGCATTGTTATCAGTCACACTGAGTTGGTGTTTGAGAGGCACAAAGATACGATTAACAGTAAGACTGCAGACACTTTATTGAACAAACACCACCACCATGCAGATAAGCAAGTGCTCAGTACCAGTACAGTAGTTTCTTAGTGTTGGATTAAGGTAGCAAATCATGATTCTGCTAGATATGCACAAGAATAAACGTGTGGATTTCTTAATTATCAGTAAAGCCCCATCATATTCATATTTTGCTTTGAAAGCACTTGCACTGTGAAGATTTACTCACGTAAAGCAGGCGAATAAAAGAATTGTTATTCTCGTTGCCAAATTCTTTGCCTGTGTCACTACCAGAATCCAAGCAATCTTTATGTGTATGTAGCTTCCAGAATCCAAGCAAACACTCCATCATATTTTTTAAGTGACACTAAATTTGCAGATTTCTAGAGTATGACGTCATTGATGTTATATTGGGGGGAAAAGTGTACTTGGCCTATGAAACCTTGCTGAATAAATTACAAAGATGTGTACCTTGTTGTTGTGCACTTAGCTCCATTAATACTAGCCTAGTAATAGCTGCGTTTAGATGTGTTCACAAAACGAATGCTTTAGTCGTCTGGGTTCTAAAAAGCTAGCACATTTTTTTTCTTTGATGCTAAATAGGAATTATGACTAGTTCAGTTTTTTTCTTAGAAATGGAGTCCGAGGATTTAAGTGGCAGAGAATTGACAATTGATTCCATAATGAACAAAGTGAGAGACATTAAAAATAAGTTTAAAAATGAAGACCTTACTGATGAACTAAGCTTGAATAAAATTTCTGCTGATACTACAGGTGAGTTTTTCTTTTCTTTTAAGTTATTAACTGTTTGTTGGGTGTCCTCTAAGGTAAAGAAGTAGTACTAATCACTTTATAATTTACTCATGTGTTTATTGTCTTTCACCTCCACTAGAATGTAGGCTACATGAGGGCAGGGTTTTTATCTGTTATATCCACAGAACTTTGGTGTCTGGCACATGGTAGGTAGGTACTTAAGCATTTATTGAACAATGATTAATGGGTGAAGGTGCCCAGAGTTTAATACTCTAGCTCTTCTAAAAGTATTAGCTCAGAAGCCTGATTCTTTACTGTATTTCAAATGGTTGGTCATTTGAATGGTGACCTTTGGATAATTTTGTTACATGTATACTAACCATTAAATAGATGAGAAATTGAAAATAAGTGGAAGAACCTGTGATCTAATTATGGTGGCTGACTGTTCACTTTGAAAAAAACCTAGAAAATGATAGTTTTGGTGTTAAGCAAAATCTTAATAGAGTATAAATGTACTTAATTATGTCACACTAACAAAGGTTGTACATCAAGGCAATTGAGTATTTTAAGTATTGAGGAAGATTCAAAGGTGCTTGAAACTATAGTTTCTTTCTAGGTGAGAATTTATATATTCACTATGCTACACTGTAATGCATGCTGGGCATCATAGGAATACTAGCATGATAAAACACAAATGTTTTATTTGTTGATTAGAGGAAGAATAGGGTCCTCAGGCACGAGGAATGTATCTGCAAAGCCACAGATGAAAATGTGTGTTTTAGACATTTCACAGACTAATTTCTTAGGAAAGCAATAGGAGGTAAAAATAGAAAATTAAAGTCAGGCCAAATTAAATTTAAAACGACAAAGCAAAGTTATGCATGCACTATATTTTAGTAGAAAGTAGAAACAAATTTTATTTGTAAAAGTAAAGGTGTAGGCTTTGTTGAAAGTGACTGAAATTTATAGAAGGAATGATAGCTTCTCTGGAAATCTGAATTTAATAATGCTTAGTAATAACCAAAATATCCTGAACAGAAGACTGACATTCAAGTTATCTTTTTAAAAAACTAACACTGAAGAAACTAAAAAGTACATTACACTGTGAAAATTTTGTCTGAAGATTATTCTTGCTGTTTCTGTTGGTTGGGGTTCCACAGAGAGAAACCTGACCGTCACTAGAGGTCCTATAAATTCCAAAGGTCTACACCATGGTAACTATGAGTTTGTTGGACCAAGAAATTATCAGGGCCTCTAGGAGAAATGCAGGTTACTTGGAGAGAAGAAAATGATTATATCATTTGTTTATTTTTTTATTGTAAAGCTGGTTTGGTTGTTTTACAAGTAAGTATGAGGTATACAGAGATAATGTTGAATGAGTAAGGTTGTAAAGAAGATTATATTAGGACCGGAGCAGTAAGTTTAATGAAAAAATCATTGAAGGGAGAATTTTCTAAGTTAATTAGTACAGGTGGTGGTGGGAGAGATTTAGTTTTCTATGGATGCTAAAATTGTAGGATGCTAAAATTGTAGTTATCCTGCAACAGCATAAAATTTTCTTAAACTACATCCAATTTTTAAAGGCTACTTAAAAAAATCCCACTTATTTTCAGATTTTTTCTTTTCTTCAAAATAAGTAACTTTTGGATAAAGTATACCTAGATAAAAGATAAATATACAATAAATAAGTTACTTACATTTATATGAACTTTTATAATTTTAAAAAGTATTACAAGGGCTTTGTGTACATTGATACTGTGAGTACAAATGCTTGACTATATTTTGAAGGAAAACTGCAATTTGGCATTTGTTTTATGTCTTCTCTTGTGATATATTTTGTTCCCCTTATTTAGATAACTCGGGAACTGTTAACCAAATTATGATGATGGCAAACAGCCCAGAGGACTGGTTGAGTTTGTTGCTCAAACTAGAGAAAAACAGTGTTCCTCTAAGTGATGCTCTTTTAAATAAATTGATTGGTCGTTACAGTCAAGCAATTGAAGCACTTCCCCCAGATAAATATGGCCAAAATGAGAGTTTTGCTAGAATTCAAGTGAGATTTGCTGAATTAAAAGCGTAAGTACTAGCATTTTAACTGTGTTTATGTTACATAATATGTAACCACCTTGCAAAGGGAGAAAATAAAAACATGTCAGTATTGTGAGAAAATTAATATTTTTTTACCAAATACTTTTGCTTATAATTAACAAGAGACTAATGTAAACTCTTTTCTATGCACATTTCCGCAAAAGTTTACTTAAACTGTCTAAAAAGATTTTTAAAAAATAACTTACTAGTATTTAATTTTATCCACAGAAAAAAGCAATATCCCATGTCTTTTGGAAAATTGAATGAAGCATTATCAAATTTAAGTAGCTGTGTTCTTTTTCTTAAATTTTGACTCAGATCTTTTATTACAGTATTCAAGAGCCAGATGATGCACGTGACTACTTTCAAATGGCCAGAGCAAACTGCAAGAAATTTGCTTTTGTTCATATATCTTTTGCACAATTTGAACTGTCACAAGGTAATCTGAAAATGTCAAATTCAAATTTTAAGTAAAGGATAACTTACTACAACTTACATTCTAATATTAAATCATATATATGCAGTGGAAATTTGAGGCAAAAGGCATTAAGTTGATCAGATGAGAATATGGGGGGGAAAATGCCACCTAAACGTAATTGCCGAGAATATCTGTTATACTAGCTTTTCCATGTATAAAGAGTAATCCAGGGAAATGAGCATGAACATTGTCTATGTGCTACTAGTTAGATTCAGGAAATGTCTAAAGGAAAGTAGCTGCTTCACTGAGTATTTGTAGGAAGAAGGATATCAGATATTTAAGCTCTAGCTTGAGTATCTAGAGCTTACATAAACTTTTCTTATGCTATGGTTTCATAGCACCAAAATGTACATTAAAGTGTAGCTGTGTAGCTTAGCGGTCAGGTAAACTATGTGTGTGTGTAGCGTTAACTGGTAGTTCTTTAAAATAAGTAAACTGCTGTAGAAACTATTTCTTGTTCACTTGGTTCTTCATTGTCTGGATTTTTTTGGGTAAGACCAAGACAATCTCTTCCTAAGACATTTTTAACCTGGCCATTCTTTAGTCTTTTCTCATTTTCTGGGGCCTTTTGATAACATCCTCAGTCTGCTCTCTGGCCAGGTGTTTCCATTCTCCCACTGCCTTGTTTCTGCTACAACTGTGATCCAGTTTACTGCCAGTGATAAACATATTAACACTATTGGAAGAATCCCCGTGATGGTTTCCATAGCAGGGATTGGTCACTGGAGAGTATTCTCCAGGATTGAGGCTGGAGAAGAGAATTATATGACTCAGAAATGATTTGAGAACCCTGAATTTTTACCCGTTCAGATGATTTCTGAGTCCTAGTAATCGTCTTCTCCAATATGTCCTTTGCTCTGTCAGGTTACTTTTTAGAACTATTATCCCTTTCTTTCTTAGAAAAATGGATTCCTCCTTGCTTGTTAGAGAAAATTTGGCAAGGCTTCTTTCTCTCCATTCTACTTCAAAATTTCTTGAGGTATCGTGGCTCTCAATAACAACCATAAATTTTACATCTTTAGAACACATAAATATTGAAACTTAAATTGAGTTATCTGTAAAAAAAGATGAACTTTATCTATACCACTTTGTCTGCAGTGTGGTGGTAATGCACAGTGATGCATTGTGGTCAGATGCATTGCACAGTAGTGCATTGTGGTCAAATTATGATTATTTTGAGCACAGTTGATGGCTTGACTGTCAGGAAATAATGCAACATCCCTGAAATCCTATGCACAGTCTGTTGTGTGTGTATTTTTATAGGGATGGAGGACATTTCAGTTTTTACCAGATTCTTAAAGAAATCTCAGATCTCAGTACTAAGCTCTCTGATTAATTAAGCTTCTTAATTCTAATCTAAGCCTTTCTCTCTTTTGTCATGCTAAAATACACAACACATGAAATTCTACCACTACTGAATAAATGTAGACTTAATCACTATCAAAGATATTTTTAAAAATTTATAAACTACCAGAAGCTAGAGATCATCTCCTAAGCATTTTTATACCCTAAGTGCCAAGTGCATAGCATAGTTCAGTGGCTCCCATAAATGTTGATAATATTCTGTAAGATATGTGATGTATACATTTAAAATAAGTCAAATGCTAGGGGTAAGTTTACCAATTTGTTTGGTAATCGGTACATACTCAGAAAGACAATTGTGATAGTTCCTCCGTTATTCTGCATTCTTTTTCAGGCTGATATAGCTGAGTGTGATAGCTAAACATTAATCTGTATTACGTTTTTCCCCCAAAATTCTTTTGATGGAAGATGCTGTTTAACAAAAGGTGTCATCCTTCCCTTAACTAAATGTCATTATAAATGATACTTATTACAGCATGTTGTAAGAGACTGATGCTCTTGGCACTTTTGTAATATCTAGAACACCCTCCTGTTTCTAACTGTTGTGATTGACCTTTGCTGTCCCCTCTTGGTAACTGCTTTGTTACACTTCTGTTACTTCTGAAAGTGGATGGTGGTAATTAACTAACGCACGATTACGTCAGCTCCATGTTGCAAGGAAACTATTTGGTATGCATTGTTATCAGAAGAGAGTTGATTATCTGCATAAGAAGTGAGAGATTGCTTACTTGCCTATGAAATAAAATACGTGTGCCTTGGAATAAATATTCTTTTAAAGTCTTTTTGAGTTTTTTTCCTAGGTCCTGATGAATAAATATCTGGGTGGTGGGTAAAGATTACTGCCTAAAAATGATAATTATGTTTTGCTTTGTTAGGTAATGTCAAAAAAAGTAAACAACTTCTTCAAAAAGCTGTGGAACGTGGAGCAGTACCACTAGAAATGCTGGAAATTGCCCTACGGAATTTAAACCTCCAAAAAAAGCAGCTGCTTTCAGAGGAGGAAAAGAAGACTTTATCAGGTAACTATTAATGTATACTAATACTTTTCTGTGGTCGGTAGTACTTCAAATAAAGATTCAGGATAATATTTTATAGAAAAGTATTATTTATGTAGAATGGTTAAAGTCTAAGATTAAGTTGTAAAGGAAGTTAAGACTTTGAGAAGTAAAAAAGTCTTTACGACCCTGTGCAAATTTGTCTTTTTTGCTAAATAAACTTTTGTTAACACATGAAAAACAACTCTAAGCAAGAGAATGGTTTTTTTTTTTTTTGCTTTTGGAAATACAGAATGTGCTTTTACCCTGGGGAAATAGTTATATAATTTAAGAGAATTTGAAGAAGTAGTTAAAGAATTATCTTGGTAACATCTTCATGTCTTCATATCTTACTTGGGATCAAGTATTTACTATGAGTTGACTTTTAAAATATTCTTATTTATGAGATTACTTTTTTGTACTTTTCTTATTTCTAACAAATTTAATCATCGTTTCAAAATTTTTACAGCATCTATGGTATTAACTGCCCAAGAATCATTTTCCAGTTCACTTGGGCATTTACAGAATAGGAACAACAGTTGTGATTCCAGAGGACAGACTACCAAAGCCAGGTTTTTGTATGGGTAAGGAAATGGAAACAGTTTTTAAATGTTCATCTTCTATATAAATACCTCTGTGTTTTTTAATTTAATTACGTGTATCTATATATATGTTTTCGTGTGTGATAATGTTTAGCAGTAGAGTAGAAATACATATTAATATTATTCTTGGAAAAATTGGGGGTATTTTCTTTCTGTTTAGAGAGAACATGCCCCCACAAGATGCAGAAATAGGTTATCGGAATTCATTGAAACAAACCAACAAAACTAAACAGGTAAGTTACTTTCAATCTGCTTGATTAAGGTGGTGATAGTTAAGTCTTAATTTCCTAGTTGGTTATTTTAATCTTTCAAAATATTTTTAGTCATGCCCATTTGGAAGAGTCCCAGTTAACCTTCTAAATAGCCCAGACTGTGATGTGAAGACAGATGATTCAGTTGTACCTTGTTTTATAAAAAGGTATGTTGAGTTTTAATTTTTAAAATTTGTTGTCCATATGTGAGGATTGATGGCAGAATGGTCTTAAAGTCTTTTACTGAGTAATAGTAATTATGATTAAGTTTTTATTCAGTTTTAGAAGATACTGAGTCTCTAAATGCTGTCAGGAACAAAGGAATGAGTGGAGAAAATAACTTTGTTTTGCTTTTCACTCATTAAAAATATTCATTAAAGGAACTTTAAAAATTAGGAAAAAATATTAAGCCAACATTAAGCTTAAAAGACTGATATTTGAGGATTTCTCACTTATGGGTAGGCTGTCTGCTAAGAATCTCTTCCTGCTGTGTTCGAGAGTCTCCATAATGGGTAGAAGGAGGTCTGGGAACAAATATTTGCTCCAGGTAGTTCAAGGGGAGAATTGCTGTCAGTGGGAAAGATGATGATTCTTTTGCTTCAGAGTCTAGGGCTTCAAGAAGTGGGACAGGTTAGGTACAGATGAAATACTGTTCATCACATCCAGTGTGTTCCCCTTCCCTCAATTTGTGTGTTTATTCCCTGTTAAGAAATGGAACTGTAGCATCTAGCTCAGCTAAAGGAGAATTATTTTGGTCTATTCTTAATTTTGACCACCATTTGTAATATTTATATTAGAAAAGGCTCATTACAGTCCGGAGAATCATTTTGCAAATAAACTTTAGAAATACAACGATTGTTTTTAGTTAACATCTTTTATAATTAAATTTCTATTATATTTAGACTTGACTAAACATTGACATTAAAAGAACATTTTGGTCGTCAAGGTTAAGCTTTAAAGTCTTGTCACTATCATTCCATCTTGTTCATCTCTATTTCAAATACCTAGCTCAAGAATAAAGGAGACTTTCTCCCACTCCAAAAAATTAAAAATAAAAACAGAAAAACTCCAGCCATTTTCTTGGTTCCTATTATTGATAGACAATGCTAGGTACTGTGGAGGTCCACAGAAGTGCTATACCCTGGTTCTTATCCTTTAGCTATTTGTAATTGGAAATGTAGTTTCATCTACATACTTTGCCTTTCCCACAGTCTAACCCTAACTCCAATTGCTATTGATTAGATAATGAAGAAGTAGGCAATCACCTATCTCTTGTCACTTTTGTCATTGCCCAGCACCTAATTTTGTTAGCTGTCACCTTTGTATTGGAATTATGTCACTTTAAAAAATGTCCTTTTAAGAGTTTTTTTAAATAAAAAGTATTTATATTAAAAATCCAACTTAAGATGAGAAAATACATTGAAATTTTTTTTTTCAAATTTAATATTAAAATTATTTTGTTTCATGGGTAAAAGACAAACCTCTAGATCAGAATGCCGAGATTTGGTTGTGGCCGGATCTAAACCAAGTGGAAATGATTCCTGTGAATTGAGAAATTTAAAGGTATTTTAATTCTATGTCATTATATGAAGCAAGGGTTCCTGATCTGGGAAGATCAGGATTCATGGAGCTTTTTCTGGGGAAAGGGTTTATAAATAGTTCATATATCTCCAACAGTGTTCCTCCATACCCCAAGAGGTGTGGGACTACCAGTGGGAAGTCGGTGCAGAAGTCCTAGACTATGTTTCTCCAAGATTAAAGTGGTAGAGCAAGGATCAACAGTCTCTTAAGAGAATCATGAAGTAGTATTTATTATGCATGTGTTTAAGCAGATAGTTGGCCTGGGTTTGGGAATACATGACTGGGGGAGCTATTGTGTCTTAAGTTTTGTTTTTTGTTATGTTTAATCATATGATTCTGGTAAGATATCTTAGAAAAAGAAAAATGAGAGAGTAAATTGAGTTAGGGCAGAGGTGAGGACATAAATGATCAATCCTGACTTCCTGACATGGCAGAGTAACTGTGTGGACATAAAGGAAATAATTTTAGTTCCTTCTACACTGTGATTTTTAGTGGTTATACTATTATTATAATTGAGTTAAACCCCTGGCATCATGCTGTGGGTCTTTTCAATTTTATGTTCTTTGTAATGCCTCCCTCTTTCATGATCTATGCTTTAAGTATTAATTTTTTTCTAATCCTGGCTGTCCTAGAGAACAGTGCATAATTGTATCAAAAAGATTGCTCTCTGGATTTAGAGTAACTACTGTCTTAAATTATACAGTTATTAATTTTGACTTGTTATTTTTGGTGATAAAATAGCCATCAAAGTAACAAAATACTTAAATCTTTTTTCTTGTCATGAGGCATACTCTATGTTGAATTTAAACTTTCTAACCCTTTCCATCTTTAAGTGCAATATTAGCAATTGATTAATACATCCACTGAAAGCAAATTGGCCAGATTTATGGTTATGACCCTTCCCATTCCTCTAATTAATAATTCAGGCAATTAACCTTTGCTGGGGGTTTGTGAGTCTACATGTAATTATAACAGAAAATTTTACGAGCAATCTATATATAGATAAGACTTTAGTATATTGGACAGTAAGACAAATTAGTAGTACTACTATTTATGGGACTTTATTTGATTTTTTTTTCATGTAGTCTGTTCAAAATATTAATTGCAAGGAACCTCTGGTATCAGATGAAAAGAGTTCTGAACTTATTATTACTGATTCAGTAACCCTGAAGAATAAAACTGAATCAAGTCTTCGAGCTAAATTAGAAGGTAAGAGTGACAAAATCAGTAGACTTATATGTTTAGTTAAGAAAACCATTTGATAGCTTGAGAAAGCAGACTAGCCACCCAAGAATTATGATGTGAAACTATGTCTGTGTTCTTTTATCTTGAATTTCAGTTCAGTTATATAGGATATAAGAAAAGTATTGAATCCCGTAGCAAAGGAAATTTATTTACCTAAAAGGTGCATAAAAGAAAGAGTGGAGGGAAAATGCAATGGAACTGAGTTATTTTTCTCAGTTGGCTTTCTGAAAGCGATACAGAGCTATTTTTATATGACAACTCTCATCTTTTATCAAGTGTTTGGTTTTCCACTGCATGAGTACTGTGATACATGTTCTAGGGATATGTAAGTTAATAAAACAGTGTCCCAAGTAGGTTGCAGTCCAGTGTGGGAGATACACAGAGATATATAAATATAATGCTGAATAGAATGTAGAGATTGTCATGAGAGCCGCATATATGAAATGCTATGAGAATTCAGAAGAGGGAGAAATTGAGGAACTAATTTGGTTTGGAGAAATAAGGAAATATTTTGTGATGATGGTGAAGTTCGAAGAAACTAATTCGGATTTAAATGGGGGGAAATACTAGAGTATTTCAGATGAAGAGGATAACACAGACAATGAGTAAAATCAGGAACTAGAGACTGTCTAGTTATGCTGCAGACTGTAACATGGGTAGTATGCAAATAGGAAATAAGACTAGGTGGACTTTGAATGCCGTTAGATTTTGTGTTTATTTTTAGAATGCAGGGTACCATTAAAAATATATTTAAACAGATCATAAATAATCATTAATAGGATGGTCATTGCCCAGATAGAGGTTGCCAGATTGGATGTATTAATTTTTTATTCATTTTAATAGGACTGAGGAGGAACTTTGGGACCAAGTGAGGCTTGCCTTTGCCAGGGACTTTGCTGAATGCCCAATATCCCAAGAGTGCCTCAGTCCCAGTCAAACAGGGACACACACAAAAAACCATTATTTTGGTTGGGAACAGATTCTTATTCCTAGCGTTTGATGGAAAATGTTTACATTTCGTATTTTCTTGGCATCTATCATAACTGGTATGATTGAGAAAATCATCTTTATCAAATATGCTTGTTAATAGTACTCTCAGTACCTAAGTTAATGTTTTAAATGAATGCTTATTGTCTACACTGTACCAGTAATACTTTGTTAATATAATAAAGCATACAGTCAGAAAACTGCCCACATCACAAGAGTGCTGCACAATGAAATAACACAAGTGAATGCATACTTGTAACCAATAGGCAGATCAAAATTAGAACATTACTAGCACCTCAATAACCTCCTTGATCCACCTCCTAGTCAAGACCTCTCTCCTTCCAGATGTAATCACTATTCTGATTTCTAACACCACAGAATGAAATAATACAGTGTGTATTCTTGTATTTGCTTACTTGCTGTTGTTTATGGAACTCATCCATGTTTTTAGGATGTATAGTCTGTTGATTTTTATTGCCATATGCTATTTAATTAGTGTAAATATAGTATAATTTGTTTATTCACATGTACATGGATAAGTTTTTGGTCTAATGAATAATGCTGCTAATTAATATTTTGGTGTCTTTTGATTCACATGTGTACAAATTTCTATTGAGTGTATTCCAAGAGTGGGATTGTTAGGTCACAGGATATGCGTGTGTTCAGCTTTGGAAGATAGTGCCAAACAGTCTGAAAAGTGGTTGTGCTAACCTTAGACCAACAATTATGTTGCTCCTTCTTCTGTTCTTTGCAATCATTGTATTGTTGGCTTTTAATTTTAGGCATTTTGATGCTATCTAGTGGTATCTATCTCATTGTGGTTTTAATTTGCATTTCGCATTTCCTTAATGTCTGCTTTTGAACATTGTTTCATGTATTTATTAGCCATGTGGATACTCTCTTTAACATACTGCAACTGTGTCACCCAGGTTGCAGTCTTGCTGATATTTCTATTGGTTTTGCTTTCTTTTTCTCATTGATTGTTAAGAGGTATTTATATGATCTAGATACAAATCGTTAGTTGGAATATGTGTTTGTAAGGGAAAAGGCATAATTATTTTTCTTTCCCTTTTTAGTTTCTTAGTTGAGACACTCTCTTGAAAATACAAGAACGATTAACAATAGAAAAACAAGCAGAAGTTTGTTAACATGTGCTCTATCCATCACCTGGGTGGGTTCAGTTCTGAAGTATTTCTTTCTCTCCAAGCAGTGGATTTGCTTAAATGGTATTTTGAAAAGAGCCATAAATCTTAAATATTGGCAAAACAGAGGAGAGAACAGTGCCAATCTTTAAAAGCAGGAAAATGTGGAAAACTAGTAAAATCTATTTCCAGATTCCTCTGGTGCCTGCTAATGCTTTCTGGGCCAAAAAGGAAGTGTTGTCTCCAGTAAGGAAAGATTTATACCCTGCCATCAGGCAAGATATTTCCATATTTTTTAGATTTATCATTTTACCTTTCACCTTCTGATTTATATTTTTCCTAAGTTTGATGTTTACATATGTGTAAGATCAAGTGTCAGGGTTCATTATTTTTCCCTTAATGGATATCCAAGTGACCTGGCACCATTTATTGAAAAGATCCTCCTCTACCTCACTGACCTGTTGTAAATTAGGTGATTCTATGTATGGTGTCTGGCTTTGGATTCTTTTCTGTTCCATATTTATTTTTGCCTTTCTCCTTTTGAGACAGGGCCTTGCTCTGTCACCCAGATTGCAATGCAGTGGTGCGATCACAGCTCATTGCAACCTCTGCCTCCTGGGCACAAGTGATCTTTCTACCTCAGCCTCCTGAGTAGCTGGGACTTATAGGCCTGTGCCACCATGCCTGGCTAATTTTTAATTTTTTTGTAGAGATGGGGTCTTGCTGTGTTGCCCAGGCTAGTCTCAAACTCTTGAGCTCAAGCAATCTGCCCACCTGAGCTTCCCAAAGTGCTGGGATTATAAGTGTGAGCTGTCATACCAGGCCTAATGCTCTCTTAATAGCTGCACTATGTCTTGATATCTGTCAGTGTAAATTTTTCAACTTTATTCTTCAAGACTATTTTGGCTATTCCTGGGCTTTGCATTTCCATATAAACACTAGAATCTACCTTTTGGTTACCACTTTAAAAAGTGGGATTGTGACTGATATTTAACTTGACCTATAAGAAATTTGGGAGAAATTGATGTCTTTACAATTAAGTTTTACAGCTCAATAACCTAGCATACCTTTTCAGTCATTTAAAGTAACAAGATAACTATTTTCTGTTTAGAGATCTTGTGTATCTTTTGCTAGATTTATTGTTGAATATTTTTTTAATGCTGATCAAATATTCTTGATATTTTTTGATGCTGTGATAATGAATGATATCTTTTTAAAAACCTTTTTCTAGCCTGGGTAACATAGGAAACCTCGTCTCTACAGAAAAAGTTAGCTGGGTGTGGTGGTATGTACCTGTGGTCCCAGCTACGCAGGAGGCTGAGGTGAGAGGATCACGTGAGCCCAGGAGGTTGAAACTGCAGTGAGCCATGATCACATGATCATGCCACTACACTCCAGCCTGGGTGACAGAAGAAGACCTTGTCTCAAAAAAAAAAAAAAAAAACTTTGTTGTTAGTTTATAAAAAATATAATTGATTTTTACTTATTCATGCATTGCTAAATTCACTGAGTAATTCTAATAGTTTTCCGTGCATTTTTTGGATTTTTACAGGTACATAGTTATGTTTGAAAATAGTATAGCTGGCCGGGCGTGGTGGCTCACGCCTGTAATCCCAGCACTTTGGGAGAAGGGCGGGCAGATTGCCTGAGGTCAGGAGTTTGAAAGCAGCCTGACCAGCATAGTGAAACGCTGTCTACTAAAAATACAAAAAAAAAAAAAAATAGCTGGGTGTGGTGGTGGTAGGTGCCTGTAATCCCAGCTAATTGGGAAGCTGAGGCAGGAGAATCGCTTGAACCTGGGAGGCGGAAGTTGCAGTGAGCTGAGATCATGACGTTACACTCTAGTAGTCTGGGCAATAGAGCGAGACCCCGTCTCAAAAAAAAAAAAAAAGAAAAAGATAAAATAGTGCAGCTTTTTTCCTTTTGAATCCCTTTAACTTTCTTTTCTATGCCTTGTTATAATTGCTATGACCTCCAGTATAACAGTGAATGGAAAGGGATGATAGGTGCCATTCTTGTCTCATTCCTTATTTTAAGGGAGAGCTGTCAATACTTTATCTTTAATATCATTGCTGTATGGTTTTGTCCCTACTTTTTGTCAAGTTGAGTGAGTTCTGTTTTATATCTAGGCTACGAATAATTGTTTTTTTGTGTGTGACTGGGTGTTGAATTTTATCAGATGTTTTTTCTGCATCTATTTAGTTAATTATATATTTTCCTTCTCTATTCTGTTATTATGGCAAATTACATTGACCTTCAAATGTTAAGCAAACTTTGCATTTAGGAATAAGCCCAATTTGGATATAATTTTTTATCCCTTTTGTATATCAATTGCTAATATTTTGTTTAGGACTTTTGCATCCATTATAATGAAAGGAATGGAATTGTATATTTATAGAATGTTAAATATATTGTTGAGGTGGTTTTGTTTATAGACCTTTGAGAGAATAAATTACAAACTTGCATAAGGTGAAATTTTTATGTTAAACTAGAGGTCTTGTAACTGACTTAAGTCCAGCTGCTTGCTACTCAGAGTCAAAAAAGACGAGAAATGAGTTGTGATGAAAGGAAGGCAATTTTATTAACCAAATGCTAGCAGTTGGAGAATGCCCAGGCTCTTACCTTCAAAAGACTATTCTGCAATTTCTGAAACATGCTTTCCCATATTATAATTTTTTCTTAATTGGAAATGACCCAGACCTCTCATGAGCATCAATTACTTAATTCAGAATAATTTGAAAGTCCACTACAGGCATTTATCTCATTTACATGCCCTGAGCTTTTTCCATTTTTAACAGTATATCTAGATTACTTCTGAAAACTGAGATGTTATACAAAGCTAGTCATTATTTAAAGTTGTTTCCCTGTTAACCATTTTTAAAGTCTGAGTAACAGGTGAACACTTAAGTAAGAACCTAAGTAAATGTATTTTGCCGGCAACTCAGAATATTGAGCTGTTTTCATTGAACCACCAATCTAAATTAAATTAGTCTTATTTGTCGAAAAAATCACACAAAGATTAGTCTGTTTTTGACTGTGTTTTATAGTCTTATAACCGTTATGTTAAACCCTGACATCTTAATATATAGACGTAGACAAATATGAAACCATTTGGTCAAAATACTTAGATAAAAATATATGCTGATGATTCTGAAGACATTTTATTTTTATTAATAATTTTAAAATCAATTTAATTTACCAAAGATTCATGTGAACTTGAAAAGCATTAGGACTTACTTAATTTATGAGTGTTTATTTACTTATAAGCCAATTTGGTAGCATGCTAGATTCAACATATACATGTATGTACATATACACATGCCTAAACATGTATACATACAGGCACAAAGATCCAATAGCTTTTACCTCAGAATCTAGCCATAAGATAGCAATGCAAACTCACCACTTTATAAAAGATAGCTGATCCAAATTATTTTTCTGATGAAATTGGAACCTGTTCACATGGCTAAACCTTGTTTGCCTTGATAGGTAATCTAAGGAAAGCTGTCAACCAAAATTTGGGTAAAGCAGTCTATATGGCAGTTTGGTTTTAAAAACCTCTATCCTTTTTTTCCCCTTTTTCTTCAGTTGCAAATGAGTTACTAATGATTCTGTTATAACCGTAACTGGCTGAACTGTATAAGAAAAATAAAAAACCAAACTCTCCAAGTGGTCTTTAAACAGTGAGTTTTATCTCAACTCAAGTAGCATAATAGCACATTCAAAGCAGGCAGAAAAGAAAAGATAAAATAGAGAGCTAGCTTTAGAAGACTGTTTAATTTTATAGTTGCAGGTTAACCATTTGAACTCTGAATTTTTCTTACTGTAATTTGCCCATAGTTTTAAAATGTGCACAAAAATGGGCTGTACTGTGTAACCAGCTGGAGTCCCAGATAGTCCAGGAAAGAGCTCACATGCTTTCTCCCCTAACAAAGCTTGACACAGATACAAGAAATATTCTGGAGTCCAAAAGAGTATGACAAAAATCAGAGGCCAGGTTGTTGGAAAGCATTTCTCCAGTAGCGAGGAGAGGAGCAGCCTATCTTGCTGGGTGGGATGGAGACAGTTTCAAAGCACCCTCGGAGAGAGGGATAATGCTAAACAGAGACACAAACACAGGCAGATCCAGTGCAGATGGAGCACTCCAAATCCATCCCCAAAAAGGGGAGACTGGAGATAAGTGCTGAGATCTTGTCTCAAACCCAGACAGCATTGCAGAGTGACCTGCATTGGGTCCAGATGGCAAAGAGGCCCAAATGGCACCACAGATGACCTATACTTAGGTCCAGACAACTAGAAAATGCAGATGGCTAAGACAGAGGATTTCCCAGTACACTCTGGTTGATTTATCCAACCCTTGAATTCCGTTGACTTCCCAGATGCCACTTTCCTTTCACTAACTGAGCGTTACAGCAAAGGGAAGGGAAGGAAAAATCCTTGAGACAAGGGTGGTCTCCCTAGCTGCTGGGAATTCCTTAAGGTCCCAACTGCAGGGTCAGCTAGCTACAAGCAGCTGGCGTTTGCAAGTGGCCCTTGCCTTGGCCGGGTAGCCTGAATGGGTGAGCCTTGGCCTGCTCCCACAGCCAATTGCTCCACTTGTTGGAAACCAGGTGTACAGGCTGAGCCCCTCAAAACACACGGTTCCTCACACAAGGCACCACGTTTGTAACTGACTCAAGTCTGGCTATTCACCACACAGAGGCCAAAAACACGAGAAGTGAGGTGTGGTGAAAGGAGAGCAGTTTATTAATCAAATGCTTGCAGTTGGGGACTGGCCAGGCTCATGCCCTCAAAAGACCATTTCAACTTTTTGGGCTGAGTGAAGGGGTTTGGGAAAGAAAAGGTGTGGGAGAGATGTGGGAGTGGTGCAGGTCTGAATGTCTTGTTCTGATGGTTATATTGAGTCGTCGCCCATCTGGAGGTAAGGTTTGTGTCATCCTGACTTCACTGGGTACTGCTAGGCTAACTGATGGAAACTGCCCCTAAGCAAGAGGAGTCTGCAGCTCCATCTCTGCTTGGTTCGTTTCAAAACTGGCCCCTGAAATTTCTAAGCAAGTACATGATTAGATAAGTGAACACTGTTCCTGGAAGTGCCTGGTGGGAAAGGGAGAAACTAAAGAGTTTAAAAGTATGCTTTGAGGCTGAAAGCAAAAAGGGAAAAAAAAGGTTCTAAAATGCATTTTGAGACTTGGTCCATGAAAAGTGAATTAGCTTCTCTTTTAGTAAGACTTTATAACATCTATGTTTTTACATTTTTACTTATTTATTGGTAAAGAAGCATTTAAATGTGGCAGGGTCTCTGACAAAGTTCTTAGTAACAATTTAGGAAGATGACTATAGTGCAACTTTGTGAAATTGACTTGCTAAAAGCAAATTGTTAAGTAGCTGGCTTAAAGCTTTCAGTTTCTCTCCCTCCTTTATTGTTTTTAAGAACTAAATACTAATATAGTTTGTAACATGTTCTATTGTTTAGGCTTAGTTTATTATGATCAAATATTCTCGCTTTTTAATGACAACAAATACAATTTCAGAAACTAAAGAGTACCAAGAACCAGAGGTTCCAGAGAGTAACCAGAAACAGTGGCAATCTAAGAGAAAGTCAGCATGTATTAACCAGAATCCTGTTGCATCTTCAAATCAGTGGCAGATTCCAGAGTTAGCCCGAAAGGTTAATATAGAGGTAACTTTTCCACTACAGTACAACATTGCTTTTTTGTTCATAATGCATTTCTGAAGTTTGATGATCATGTTAAATGTTTTCTTTTATTAAATATATATGAAATTTAGTAGAATAGTTTATTTAAAGGTTTTTTTTATCATTTATAAAATGGTGTTCAGTAGCAGTCATACATTCAGTAAGTCAGGCTAAATTATTTTCTATCTTCAATAGTGTTTCTAGATTGCCAATAGACTGGTGCTATGGGCCAAATCTAGTTCTTAGCCTGATTGTGTAAAGATTTATTGGAACACTGACACACTGATCCATTTAATGTCTATGGCTGCTTTTGCATTATAAGAGCAGAGTTGATTAGTTGTATTAGAGACCACCTGGCCTGCAAAGTTTAAAATGTTTACTATCTGGTCCTTTGCAGAAAACTGTGTGCTGATCTCTGAACTAGCACAGTGCTGTCCCAAGCACTTAACAGTTTCCTATGGTCATACTCGTTGATAAAAATAGAAAAATAGAAAAATATAGCCTAGACACTGTACATGAATTTGTAACATACTGAATGATCATTCCTGGTGGCTTTTCAGAAGGAATGATCAAGTAGGATACTAGAGAGCTATAGCTGCAGTTCATGGCCATAGTTTCCTTACCATTTCTTTTCAGTGACTTGTAGTAAATACAGTAAAGGCTTTGTTAATTCAGTGGTTCTCAAACATTTGGTCTTTTATACTCTTAATTATCAATGCTCCTAAAGAGCTTTTGTTTATGTTGATTATATTTATCTCTATTTACTATATTAGGATGTAAAACCAAGAAATTTTAAAAATGTTTATTAATTAATTAAAAATAAGTGAGGGCTGGGCACGGTGGCTCATGCCTGTAATCCCAGCACTTTGGGAGGCCAAGGCAGGTGGATCACCAGGTCAGGAGATCAAGATCATCCTTGCTAACACGGTGAAACCCCGTATCTACTAAAAATACAAAGAATTAGCCAGGCGTCATGGTGGGTGCCTGTAGTCCCAGCATACTCGGGAGGCTGAGGCAGGAGAATGGCTTGAACTCGGGAGGCAGAGCTTGCAGTGAGCAGAGATCGTCCCACTGTACTCCAGCCTAGGCGACAGGGCGAGACTCCATCTCAAAAAAAAAAAAAAATTACTGATAAACTCATGTGAGTATAAATGCATTATTATGAAAAATATGTATTTTCTGAAACAAAACTACAGTGAGAAGAGTAGCATTGTTTTACAGTTTTTGCAAATCTAACATTTGGCTTAACAGAAGACTGGATTCTTATGTCTGCTTTTGCATTCAATGTATTTCATTATTACATGTCATACAGTCTCTAGAAAACTCCTGTATATATTCATGAGAAAATAAAAGTGAGAAAGGTAAATATTGTCATAGTAAGATCTGTAAGTAGTAGATATAGATAACAAATGCCGGATGATAAGGATCCTGACAGGTTGAGGCATAGATTGTATCAAACAAGCATCTCCTCTTTTTTTTCTATTTGGAAACTGTACACTAATAGGATTGTAAGGGAACTGAAGACCGTATGGATCATTAAAGAAATGCAAATCAAAACCATAATTAGATACTACTTCACACCCACTAGGATGGCTTTAATTAAAGAGACAATAACAAGTGTTGGTGAGGATGTGGAGAATTTTAGAACTTTCATATGCTGCTAGTGGAAATGTAAAATGGTGCAGTCACTTTGGATAACAGTCTGGGAGTTCTTCAAAAGGTTAAACATAGCTTTATATGATCCAGTAATTCCACTCCTAGGTTTGTAGTTAAGAGAACTGAAAATATACATCCACACAAATACGTGTACATAAATATTCATAGTAGCATTTTCATAATTTCCAAAAAGTGGAAATAACAAAATATCCAACCAATGAATGGATAAACAAAATGTGGTACATCCATACAATGGAATGTTAATCAACAATAAACAGTAATGAAGTACTAGTACATGTTACAACATAAGTTAACATTTACAATATGCTAAGTGAAAGAAGCTCACCACAAAAGCCCATATATTTAATGATCCCATTTAGATAAAATCATCAGAATAGGCAGATCCATAGAGGTGGAAAGTAGATTAGTGGTTGCCAGGGGCCGGGAGCAGTGGAGAGTGGGGAATGATTACTAATGGGTATGAGGTTTCTTTTTAGAAGATGAAAATATTCTAAAATTGGATAGTGGTGATGGTTGCACAGCTGTGAACCATTGCACAACTAAAAACCATTGGATAGTACACATAAAAAGAAAAAGTATAGAATCTAGGCAGTTTCTTGTGGATACAGCTTGTCCAGCAGTCCCTTCAAGGGAGGAATGTTTTTGTCTCACATCTCACTTACCAAATGGCTATGTGCTCTCTGTTCTGTGTCCAGACCATTTCTTCCTCTTTCTTGTAAAGGCCTGTTCTTTTGATGCTTTTGACTTACTCTCAATCTCTGAAAGTCCTGGTGACTCCCCATCATTCCTTGAAGATATTAGGCTCTGGATCAACCAGATCCCAACAACTGTCACTGTTTTTGTTGGCTTCTACACTCCTGTGTATTACCAGTCCTACAGCTGGCCTTCATTTTTCTAACTTCTTCCTATCTCATGACCATTTCCTTAATTTTACTTTAGCCACCCACTCCTTATATCCTCAATTCTGACCTCTAAAATCGCAAATGCAGACATTCCACTCTATGAGCATGATCTCTTTCATTTTCCTTGTTCATTAATCTTACTACAGCAGTTCCTCAGTAACATCTTTACCTCTAATCCTAAAATATGTGCATGCTTGCACGTAAGCGTAGACACACGAAGTATTAAATAAGAGGGAAAATTTTTCCTGGAAAAAAAATTTCTTGGCCAAGACTGAAATGTAGAAAGTAGGATAGATTTAGCCACTGTAATTCTCAAGTGCGTAATGAGGACCAGTGTATTGAAATTATAATAGATAAACCAATTTAATCCAATTTATTTGCAAATATTTTCTAATAACTAAAGCTGTCCCAAAATTGAAGTGAACCTCTGTAGACTAGTGATGCTTAGTTACTAAAAGTATTCAAGCAAAACTTGGTTCTCTTATTTAATTGAGATGTGCTACAGCAGGGGTTATAGCAAACTTTCTATAAAGGGGTTATCAGGCTTTGCAGGCTAGAAGGGCTCTGTTGTAGCTTTTCACCTCTGCCATTAGAGCATGAAAATAAAAGCGATAAATAATATGTAAACAAATTGGCATAGCCATGTTCTTATAAAACTTTGTTTACAAAAATAGGCAGACAGCAGGCCACATTCAGCCTGAGCCTGTAGGCTGTAATTTGCTGATCTCTGCTACAGCGAATGTTCTTTCATCATTGGTGTTTGTACGGGATGAATCCTACAGGTTCTTTTTTTTTTTTTTTTTTTTTACAATGCTTTTGGAAAAAGAATTTCTGCAGGTTCTGTCTCTTCTTATGGCAGACACAATATAGGCATTTGTTGTTCCACATTTTGCTAAGTAATTAGTATTCTGCCGCATTTGAGGAGAAGGGAATAGAGTTTTATTGATTAAAGAAAGGCTGATTTTCAGCAACACAGACTACTATTTTAGATTATAAGAATTTAATACCTGTTACAATAGCTCTGATAGAGGAGAATGTTAAATTCTGTTTTAAACAATTTTGTGTGCCTTCCCTGTACTTGCCATCAGTTTGAGCAGAATGTACTAGGCTTAAGAATTTGGAGTAAAATAACTACACTAAAAAATTTATTGAGAGTCTAAAATGTATATTTATATGCCTACCCCTTTTAGTATGTTCTTGTATATCATATGTTATTGTTTTATTTTAAAAGTTGTAATATTTGTAAAAACTAGTGAACAGGCAACTAATTTAAAAACTCTAAATCATAGTGTTCCTTATTTTGTTTTAGCAGAAACACACCACTTTTGAGCAACCTGTCTTTTCAGTTTCAAAACAGTCACCGCCAATGTCAGCATCTAAATGGTTTGACCCAAAATCTATTTGTAAGACACCAAGCAGCAATACCTTGGATGATTACATGAGCTGGTAATTACTTTTGGCCCCTTGCTTGATTGGCAGGGTGGTATGATAGAATTAACATGGGCTTCTGGGCCAAATAAATATGGGATTAAATCCTGCTCTTTTACTTTAAAGACTTTCCAACTTCATATTATTTTCTCAGCATCATTGTTTTCATCTATAAAATGGAAAGGGGAAAGTGGTTGCAAAAATACATATCTTTAAGGATTGTTGTGAATGTAGTTTTTGTCATATTGTAATCTGTACCTACAACCTATAAATATTCTAAGGATGTAAAACGTCTTGATAATCATGTATTGCCATGCAGATATCTCTCTATTGAGAGAGAGATTTTAAAGGTTAGTATTCTTAGAGCGGATAAAGAGTAGATGAATTTTTTCACGTGAGTGGTGGTAATTGGAAAGTGATAGCTTCTGGAAGAGATTGGTTGCTACAGTTCATGTAGTTCTGGGGATATTCAAGGGTGTAGTACTTGAGTGGATAGGAATGATGGATAAGTGAAGAAGTTGGATGATGAGTGTGCTGACAGGGAACGCAAGGGATACTACAAAAAAAAAAATGAATGACATTTCAGAGAAAGGAAATAAAGGGGTGTGGTACATTACAACCATCAACCAGTGCTATATCTTTAATGTCTTGGGGGATAGCTTAAATCCATGTCATCTTTTACGTTTCATTTTCATAATGTAATTCTTGATCTTAATTAGAACTAGCCTTAAAGATTTTATAACCCAGCCTCTTACCTACTTAATATAGTTTTACTATATATTGCCTCGTTTTATTATATGTAGAATATTTTAAAGAATGATTGCTAACTAAAATAGCAATAGTAGATATTTCTTGTGACATTAAGTTAATTATTGTTAACAAATATTTGTGGAGCTCTTTCGTGCCAAGCATTGTTGTAGGTGTTGAGGATATATTAATAGCAAACAAGGCAAACAAAGCACAAATGTATGCTGGACAGATTTAAGCTCAAAGGCCAAACTCCTCTGACGTAACTGGCTTTCTGATGTTTCTAGCAAGCCATTATAGAACAATACCGTTTAAAAAAACACTCAAAATCTGTGACCGGCCATAAGCTGACGTTTGCTAAATTCGTATAAAATAACTCTAACTACTTTGTATTTTAAATGCCTTCTTTTTTATCTTACAAAGATTTCTTGTCTGCATACAAATATTTACTTTCAGAAAGAATTCCCCAAAATTAAATATTCGGTGGTGGCATATCTGGAATAAATGTCAGCTATATCATGTAAACTGACTTGGGTTCTGTTTGATGTAGCACTTTAAGTTTATATCAGCCTTTTAAAATACTTGAAAACAATCAGAATCTTATTTATTAAATTGTAATGTTTTAAATAAAAAATATATATATTTCCTAGTTTTAGAACTCCAGTTGTAAAGAATGACTTTCCACCTGCTTGTCAGTTGTCAACACCCTATGGCCAACCTGCCTGTTTCCAGCAGCAACAGCAGCAAATACCTGCTACTCCACTTCAAAATTTACAGGTTCGATAAGCTTTATATATGATGGTATATGTTAAGATACTATCAGTTTTACAGCTTTTATTTTTATAGCATCTAGATATCAGGAAAGGTCTTAAGAACTTGGCCATTCTTATTTCCACTAGACAAAACTTTCCTGCTATCCTGATAAGAGTGTACCTTGTGGCTTTGAGAGGTTCATTATTGAAGAAGCTGATGAAGTTACTCTTAACTAGGCCAAAGGATCAGTTTGAATAGCTGGATAAAACTTCTCTTATAATCAAGGCTACCTTTTATTTTTTATTTTTATTTATTTGTTTTTTTTTGAGATAGAGTCTCGCTCTCTTGCCCAGGCTAGAGTACAGTGGCGCGATCTCGGCTCACTACAACCTTTGCTTCCCAGGTTCAAGTGATTTGCGTGCCTTAGCCTCCCGAGTAGCTGGGATTACAGGCACGCATCACCACACCTGGCTAATTTTTGTATTTTTACTAGAGACATGGTTTCACCATGTTGCTCAGGCTGGTCTCGAACTCCTGGCCTCAAGCGGTCCGCCCGCCTCAGCCTCCCAAAGTTCTGGGATTACAGGCATGAGCCACTGCACCTGGCCGAGGTTACTTTTTGTTGTGTTTTGTCAGCTGCTAGTGAGCAGCTTCATTTTGTTTGTTAGTATACAATTCATTTGGAAATGTAAATTTTCAAAAATATCAGAATAGCAATATGAGGTACTGCTAGAATGTATTATACTAATAACTAAACTAAGAGGAAAGATTTTTTTGCTGATGAGGCAAAAGTTGGTTTCTAATAACTGTCCTAGAGGCAGCTTAATTAACTGTTAGAAAATGTGGGCCTTGGAGACACTGGGCATGAATCTTGGCCTCACTACTTACCATCTCTGTGATCTTTTGCAAGTTACCCAAACTTTCTGTGCCCATTTCATCATCTATAAAATTAATACAGCTAACTATCTCCTAGGATGGTTATGAAGATTAAATTAGTTAATATATATGTAACTCCTAATACAGAGCATGACACTTAGTAAATCAGAAATATTAGCAGCAGTCGTTATTTAAATAAAACAATAAAAATACCCATTAGTAATTAACTATAAAAATCAACTAATAAAAAAATTAGTCAACAGAATAAGAACAGTGATTATCAGGGAAGGGAAAAGGAGGAATGGGGAGTTACTGTTTAATGGGTATAGAGTTTCAGTGATGATATTTGCACCACCATCCATCTCCAGAACTTTTTCATCATCACATACTGAATGTACTTAATGCACTGAGTTGTACCTAAAAATGGTTAAAGTGGTAAATTTTGCATTATGTATAATTTGCGCAGTTTGAAAGAATAATGGATAAAACAATGAACTGACAGTCGATACTAACTAGAAAGAGGTGATAGTGTTTTGAGGATTGAAACAATATAATAAATTACAGAGGAAAAGGAAAAATGATCAAGTTTGTTCATGCATTGATTCAAAACACGTTTGTTTAGCTATTACTGTCAGGCCCTGTTTGAGTTGCAATCCAGAAGACGAGTCACAGATGACAAGTGAAGGGGCTTGGTGGAGCCTTCTAGAAGAGGCCAGTGTCAGGAGAGGACTGAAAGAGGCCACAGTGTGGCTAGAGCTCAGGAAGGGGAAGGGGTGAGTCCCAAGGTTTGCTGGGCCCTTAAGTTTTACCCTAAGAGGGTGGGAAGCTTTGGAAGAGGTTGAAGCAGGGAAAGTGAAATGAGCCGATTTGCATTTTGGAAACTCTAACCACAGTGAGTAGGGCAGACTAAGGGGGATGTGGAATGTCCTGTATAGGAAACTGGAGTTCACATTAGTGTTGAATCACAAATAAGAACTATTTTATTTTAAAAACTGTCAGCAGCCATGGGGAAAGGACATTGAACTGCTTTCTTCCCTCGGCAATGTTCACAGTTTTAAATATGAAAGGAAGAAGAGAGAGGAGGCACAAAAGAAAGGAGTGGGGAAATGATGAAATTACAACACAAAAAGCCCAACACTTTGTTACAGAAAATATATATGGACTCAACAGTGTATCTCAATCCTAGAGGTGAAAAAATTAGAATACTAACTTTTTATTTAAATAGGAGATTACATGAGAGAGTCTACCATTTGGAACCTAAAGCAGGCCTTAGTTAAATTGAGGTTTATTCAGACCTTATTTCAACTTGGTTAATCAGCTAATCAGGAGCTCTTTTTGTTTCAACTTCTTTATCAGCTCAGAATAAGTCCTCTCAGCACTCCATCTGTTCAAAGCATTTATAGGTACACAGAGAGATCCTCCAGTATAAGGAAAGGGATGATGGGGCAGGTTGTATAGTACATCACCTGAAAGTTTGCTGGGGAAGATGCTGAGGTTCCGAAAAATTAAGTAACTTTTGAACATCACTCAGCACAAAGTGTGGGGCTGTATTAATGAGTTCTCACACTGCTATAAGGAAATATCTGAGAGTTATTTATAAAGAAAAGAGGTTGAGTTGGCTAATGGTTCCACAGGCTGTACAGTAGGCATGATGCTGGCAATCTGCTTGGCTTCTGGGGACGCCTCAGGAAACTTTCAATCATGGCAGAAGGTGAAAGGGAGCAAATGTCACATGGCTGGAACAGGAGGAAGAGAGAGAGTTGTGGGGAGGTGCCACATACTTTTAAACCACCAGATCTCTTGAGAACTCTCAGAGAAGCACTGAGGGGGAAATCTACCCCCATGATTCAGTCACCTCTCACCAGGCCCCACCTCCAACATTGGGAATTATAATTTGACATGAAATTTGACAGATCCAAACCATGTCAGGGACATTGCTGAAATTTGCATTTGTCTCATTGACTCTAGAGCTCTTAGCACCTTAGCACATTGCTTCCTTTATAATATAACGCTAAATGAGAAAGAAGAATACAGATATAGCCGGATGGTAGTGGCATGCCTGTAATCCCAGCTACTCGGGAGGCTGAGGCAGGAGAATCGCTTGAGCCTCGGAGGCAGAGGGTGCAGTGAGCCGAGATCATGCCACTGCAGTCCAGTCTGGGAGACAGAATGAGACCCTGTCTCAAAAAAAAAAAAAAAAAAAAAAACACATATAATTATGTGTGTGTATATGTACATATGTAAGTAAAGAGGTATAAGGAAAAAGAAAAGAAATATGAAAAATATAATTTTATATTTTAGTTTTTATATATTTTTTTAAGCTTATAAGTTTGCAGATTGCATATTAAGTGTTTTTTTCCTCCTCGAAATTTCTTTTGAAGTCAAAACCAGTTAAAGGGGGAGATCTTAGAAGTTTGTCTACATTATTTTTTAAGGTTTTTTTAATTTAAGTAGAGCAAGTCCTTTTAAAAATACTGTAACATTTCTAATTAAGATTTAAGATAATTTCAAAATGGGGAGCAGTTGACTATACCAAATGTAAGCTAGTTTCTTAGGCATATTGATTGAACTTTTATTTATATATTTTACTTATTTAGGTTTTAGCATCCTCTTCAGCAAATGAATGCATTTCGGTTAAAGGAAGAATTTATTCCATATTAAAGCAGATAGGAAGTGGAGGTTCAAGCAAGGTAAGTATCTTAAAATGTTTAAGAAATAAATAAAAATATTTTAAACTTTCTATTTTTTTGTCTTTTTACCTGTGAGGGCTGCTTTTCCTTAACTTATAGGGGCCATGTTGCCCTTGAGCCAAAAAGCCATCTTAACACCTGCCCTTTTCTTCCCACTGCCTCACATGTGACATATCTTCTTTAGATTTCTTATTCCCCGTCTCCTGCCTTTCCTTTCAATGTCCTATGCTTCTAAACTTCTTCTTTAATAACAAAAACATTGACATGGGGTAGTGAATGACCACTGTGTATTATCACAAAAGAATCAGAAATTTCTGAGTCAGAATGTGATGTAAATTGCTAATATGTTTAGAATCATTCAGCAAGGATTTTTGCTGATGGATTTTGTTTTGTTTTCAGTTATTCATTTCAGAAACAGAATTCAGTAACAAGTGAATTTCTGGAATTAGATTATTTTCTAAACTTACGTGAGTTCTAAATTTATATCATTTTACATCTCTAGATTGAAGGCATCTTAAGCATTATCTAAATTTACCATCTTTAATTATCATTCAATTAAATCTACTTCCGTTAGATTTTTGCCTTCATCATTCACCAAAATAACTGTAATCAAGACCACTAATGACCTCCGTTTTTTTTGCCAAATCTGATTCTTAGCTTAGATTTTGGATTACTTAGCATTTGGGACAACTGATGTTTTTTCTCAATCAAGCTTTTTTCCACACTTGGTTTGTGTTTTTCTCTTCTCAAACTGGCCATACCTATTTTCCTCATGTTCCTGATCTCAGTGAAGCAGTTCTCCAGGGCTTAGTCCTCAACCCTCTTTCATCTTTTTCTTAAACTCATTCTGTTGGTGTTCTCTTTCAGTCTTGTGGTTTCAAATATCATGTATATGCCGACGATTCTCCAACTTGTATTTCCAGCTCGTACCTCTCCTTTGAATTGCAGACTTGTATATTCAACTTGACTATTCAACATCGCTTCTTAGTGTCTACCAGGCATTTAAAACAATATGTCCAAACACAACTCTTGCTCCATAGCTTTTCCCATTTCAGTAAATGGCAGCTTCATTCTTCCAATTGATTGACCAAAAAAATTGGTGCCTCTTACTCTCACACACATATCTAGCCAATCAGCAAATCTTGTTGGTTCTACTTCAGAGTATCTCCAGAATCTGTTTCTCATCATCTCCAGCATTATTGTTTTGGTCAAGGCAACTTTTGTATTTTCACCTAAATTACTTTAGTAGCCTCCTAAAGGATTTCATTGACTCAGTCCTTGCCCTCCTGGTCTATTTTTTAAAATTGTATATTGACAAATTATAGTTGTATATTTTTATGGGGTACAGGGTGGTGTTAGCTTTTTTAATACAATGTGAAATGATTAAGCTAATTAACATCTATTACCTCAATTTTTTTGTGTGGTGAGAACATTAGCAGTTGACTCTGCAATATTGAAATGTATAGTATCCAATTATTATTTTCAGCATGCTATGCTAATCATCTAAAAAAAAACCAAACTTGTATCTCCTATTTGAGCCTTTGTATTCCTTCACCAACATCTCCCCATTTCCCTCAACCTCCAGCCTTTGGTAACCACTATTGTCAAAAGTGGTATGAGCTCTTCTCTATGAGATTAATTGTTTTAGATTTCACATATAAGTGAGAACATGAGGTATTTGTCTTTCTGTGTTAGCTTATTTCAGTTCTTCCTGGCCTATTTTAACATAACATCCTGTTTTCTTCTAGATATCATCGTGTGTCTTCTGAGTTAGGCCTTCCTTGCCCACACTCTAAAACTGCAACTCCTACCTTTAATCACCAATGTTCTCTATTCCCCGCCTGGTTTGTTTTTCTGTGTATCTTACCTTCTAACACATTCTGTAATTTACTTACTTGATTTGTTGTTTGTGTCCCCCTGCACTTGAATGTGAGCTCCATGAAGATAGTGATGTTTTTCTGATTTGCTCAGTGATACTAGCCCCAGTATCCAGAACAGTACTTAGAACAGATAGGGATTGAATTTATTAGTTGAATGAGTAAGCTGTCCGTCCTAAGCTCTTTTGCTATTATAAGTTGTTAAACACATTAAACAAAACACATTAAACAAATTAAACAAAACACATTAAACACATTAAACAAAAACTGTTGGACTCATTTTAAGTTTTACTGTAATTTCCTAATCTCACTAACAATAATTAGACTTGCATAAGGCTGTCTTATTAACTTATGAAAAATAAGGATGGCTGGGTGCGGTGGCTCACACTTGTAATCCCAGGACTTTGGGAGGCTGAGGTGGGCGGATCACGGGGTCAGGAGATCGAGACCATCCTGGCTAAGAGGGTGAAACCCCGTCTCTACTAAAAATACAAAAAAATTAGCCGGGTGTAGTGGCGGGCGCCTGTAGTCCCAGCCACTCGGGAGACTGAGGCAGGATAATGGCGTGAACCCGGGAGGCAGAGCTTGCAGTGAGCCGAGATCGTGCCACTGTACTCCAGCCTGGGTGACAGAGCGAGATTCCGTCTCAAATAAATAAATAAATAAGGTATGTGCATTCCCATGTGTATCAACTCTTCAATAAATATTGGTTTCATTATACATTTCCTTTTATCAGTCTATTTGAATTACCTAATTTAGTTGCTTTCATAAAAATTACTTGGCTGATATTATTTATTTGTTATTTGGCTATATTTTAGTAGTATCAAGGTAAAGACACTTAATAGAGGTATTTATTTAGTGGTATGTTTTCAGAGAATGTAGAGTGGCATTTTAATGGCATTTTAACATTTTTTTCCTTGGAGTATAATGAAGGTGTAAGCTTAAGTCAAGGGCCAAGTGATAAAGCGATGGCTGGCCCATATTTTCTGAATTCAACTAAATTATCATTTAAGTTAATTATGATTGAGTTGAAAAAAATCAAATGCCTCAAAGAAAGTAACATGCTTTATGAAACTAATACCATTTATGCTTTGCCTGTTTCAGAGTTTAGGCAGTGACCAACTTTTAAGGAGGCTATTGAGAGTATCTAGAACAGTCATGGGGTAATGAGAATGGTCAAGACACTGGTAACTTCCCATAAAACTAACAAATCATAATTCTGACACGATCTCTATGAAATTGAAATAAGGCTTACCTAAACCAGATTGCAAGAGTTTTGCCGGAACAGGGACAGTGGGGGCAATAATAAACTCATTCATACAAAAAGTTGATTTAAAAGTTTTCATTTGTTTACTTAATTTTAAGATCTTATTACATAAATAGCTTTAGTATCCTGTACTTTTTTTTTCTGATATGTCCGAAAACTTTAGCATGTTTTAAAATGTCCACTTTATTCTGTCCTGAATGTCTTCAGTGATGGTAGCTAACATTTGCTTCACTCCAGACACACTACAGAACGCACTGCAGACATCAGTCATCTGAGTCATCCTTCCAATCCTGTGCCGTAGGCACTACTAACAGCATTTGAGTTTTGAGAGACTAAGGAAAACTCTCTTGGGTTTTTGTCTGAGAGACAACCCAAAGTTAGGTTGCTGATAAAGATGGAGCTGGAGCTCAAATACAGTTATTTCTTTCTAGTCTTTCCTAAGTTTCATATCCTATGTTTTCTAATCTTTAAATTTTATTTTTATGATACAAAGCTATTTCATTGTACAAATATACTACCAGAACATACAAATAAGGCATTAGCCATCACATTCAGGGTCATGGGTTAATGAGGTTATTTACCTTTTACAAAATGGCTTTATGCTGCTATTTTTAAATCCCTATCTGTTGTATTGTTATTTTCTTATCCCTCTTATGCCCCATCCCCCTCTAATTTGCTGTGTATCCAACTAAAACCAGTAATACTTCATTCGAGTCTCATACTTAAAACTTAAACACAAGCTATACCTGAGGGGCCTAATAAATTCTCCTTGTTAGTGCAGTTTTAGCACATCAACCTCATAAACACTTGGACTCTTTTCTTATTCCTTCCCAGTATCTGCTGGGCAGTCAAGGTTAAATGATTTTTTACTTAAGTATGTCAAAAGGGGTAAATGAATATAATTTTCTTGTATACACAGGCATTTTGTATTTGAATTGAGTTTTAAAAGCACCATCCTTGTTGCATTTCTGCGGAAAGTTAGCTACATTTGCATTGTTTTCTATTTTAAAAAATGTTATCTGTCCTATAAATGTTACTTAGGAATTGACCATCTTTTATAGCCAGAGCAATTGGACTTTGATCTCAGAGATCCTGACAACATACAAGAACAGCTTGTTCCTGCCAGCTTTACTTTGAAATTCAGACCTACTCTACTATTCACAGCTGGATATACTGATAGCTTATGATTAGTATATATTTTTTAATATTTTCTATCACATGAATGAAATTGCTAAGTCGCGGCACTATGGAGAAAACAACATCTGTGAATTGAATTGACTCTATATCATAGCCTTTAGTCATCCTTAACTTTTTTTTTTTCCTTGAGACAGTGTCTCACTATCTTGCTGAGGCTGGACTCAAACTCCTGGCTTCAAGCAATTGTCCCACCTCAGCTTTCTGAGTAGTTGGGATTAAAGGAGCACACGACTACACCAGGCTTGTCCTTAACATTTTGGGATGTCTTTTTCTTTATGCTGTTTCCCTGGTTAGGGCATCCAACAGATTGTTATATATATGAAATTTAAACTTTTCTTACATGTTGATATAGAAACTTTAGATTTATACCTTTAAATTATTGAATGCCCATCATCATAGGTCGTTGGGAATGGATTGTAACTCTGCTATCAGAATTATTTCTCTCCTTCTACACTCAAAATAGGCCCGAAACTTTTCATTGTTCATATCAGTATTTCCTTTAGAATTTTCTCAACCTAAAATTCTAATACATTTAGAATCATTGTGTGACATTGTATAAATAGTACATTCTAAACTTCTCTTTGTTCTACTGTGTAGGTATTTCAGGTGTTGAATGAAAAGAAACAGATATATGCTATAAAATTTGTGAACTTAGAAGAAGCAGATAACCAAACTCTTGATAGTTACCGGAACGAAATAGCTTATTTGAATAAACTACAACAACACAGTGATAAGATCATCCGACTTTATGATTAGTAAGAATCCTTTTTAAATTTAAAAAGAAAACTTTTTGCTATAGTTCTTCAGGTAAATATTTAGTAAACTTTGATATAACCTAGCCATTTATTGTTTTGTTGTTTTTATTTGTTTAATTGCAGTGAAATCACGGACCAGTACATCTACATGGTAATGGAGTGTGGAAATATTGATCTTAATAGTTGGCTTAAAAAGAAAAAATCCATTGATCCATGGGAACGCAAGAGTTACTGGAAAAATATGTTAGAGGCAGTTCACACAATCCATCAACATGGTATTTAATGGTTTTTTATATTTGTAAGGTTAAAATATTTGTTAATAGTGTCATCTTAGAGAAATATACCTATAATTTTAAGGCATTGGTTGTTGGTATCTTTAACTAGATGAACTAAATAATTAGAAGTTTATTTAAAGATAAAGGAACAAAACCATTTCTTAAAACACTGTTAACCCAAAGGATATAGGACACGAACTCAAGTTCCCACATCTGTAATACAAAATGTATTTTTCTCAGTATTAACGTAGTTTGTCATCTTTATCTCCAAATACTTGGATTATAGCAGGTCTAAGACTTTGGGGTTCAGGCATCCTAAAAAATATGAGATGTTTACTCATTCTCCTAATCATTTTGTATTGTATGCCCTATGTGAGAGTTGTTTTTTGTTTGTTTGTTTTTTACTGTTAGACCTACCTTCTGGGTTGGTTTTTACTTGTCCTTGGTTCTTTTTAGGGTTTTTCTCTGCCTTTACCTTATCCTATATATTTTTTTTGTTCTTAGTACTGTTATCCTAGTTAATTGTAATTTATCTCCTCCTTATATCCCTCCTTCTATAAGTTAAAAGATAATTCACCAGTGATCAAGATCAGGGCTATGGGGTGGAGATGTCAGGAGCATTAGGGTCTTACTGTCTGACAGTATAATTTATGATGCTCTCTAGTGGGCAGTGAATCACAGCGGTTAAGAGGATAGATTTCTGAAGCCAGACTGTCTGGCTTCAACTCATGGCACCGTCACTTAGGCCGTGTGACCTTGTACAAGTTACTTAAACTCTCATTGCCTTAGCTTCCTTGCCTTACAATGGGGATGATGATAATACTTCAGCATTGTGGTGAAGATTAAATGATTCAGTACTGTATAAACAACGAGCTTAGAACAGTGCCTGGCACATATCAAGTGCTATGTAAGTGTTTGCAGAATGTATAAAAAAATAAATATCGAATTGGATTCACTAATTGAAGGAATAAATACAGCTTGACCTGTAGACTGAATTTTTTGGTCCTTAGGATGTTTTGCATTGTTTAATATTATAGTGGAATTTTATTTTAAAGGCATTGTTCACAGTGATCTTAAACCAGCTAACTTTCTGATAGTTGATGGAATGCTAAAGCTAATCGATTTTGGGATCGCAAACCAAATGCAACCAGATACAACAAGTATTGTTAAAGATTCTCAGGTAAGACTTTTAATGTTGGTTATCTCACAGTAGAGTTCAATTCTTTTTTCACCTGTGAAGTATTATATTGCAAATGAGTATTATATTTTTAATCATCTCTAAAGGATTTGAAGTCTTTTAATAAGAATGGGTTTAAAAATATAAACCATAATCATTATAATTTAGAAAATCAAGATCAAATGGTAATATCCCCAGCAATTTTGAATGGTTTTACTACAGCTGAAGTAGAGAAACAGTAATACCTTCCTTGGAAATCACTTGGTCATGATCAAAAATTGACCTGAAAATTTGGCTCAGAGTTTCCTTGTAGCAAAGAGATAGTTGCAGTTATATGTTTTTCATTGTCTGTGAGGTAAGATTATTTTTATTCTTCTAGAGAAGCAGACCTTTTCCTATCACTGAAATTGGAAAAAAAATTCTTAAATGGGCCTTCATATTGTAAATGCCATAAGTATTATAAGCAACATTTTTATAATAGATATTGTAACAGCAAACTTAATGAAGTTTTTCTATAAAAACTAAAGCAATGGCACCAAAGTATATCTAAAAGATATTCTTGCTTGGAGCCAAGATGATATGTTTTGTGTTTACAGATTTTTGATGTGAGTTCACCTTAATCCCAGGAGTAAAATAGACTTTGTTAGGAGGAATAGATGGACAACTTGCCCTATTTGAGAGTCATGTCTCTTTGTATCAAAAGTATGGCAGAACAATGAGTTGTAAATCAGCTTGACAGTATCTTCCATGTCAAGGCCCTAAAGTAGATATATTCTGTGTTTAAAGCAAACCATTTATTTTAGAAGAAAATGAGGCTGTTGTAAGGTTGGCATATCATGCTGTAGAAACTCAGAGGACTACTGTGGGACAAAGCTAGATGGTCTTTTTGTTTATGTATTGGTTGGCTTATTTAAAAAATATGTATTTTTAAAGTTGAATATGTTACAACACAGAAACGAATGGTAAGTCCCTCAATGGCCTCAAAGTTTATGGCCATTAATAGAATTTTAGCCTGGACAGTTTTTAGGGCAGACTTTACTAGTTGCCCACTATAATCACAGAAAAAGCACAGCATTCTGAAAGGAGTCACTTTGCTGATTATGAACCCAACTCATTTTGCTGCAATTGGGAAGAAATTTTATATATATATCTTAACATTGTCAGCAGTTATTTGAAGTTTGCAAGGATATCGTTGAAATCTATAATTAGCCAACTTTCCAAGGATTTGGCATTTGTATTTTTAAGAATCTAAAGCAGAATGAAATATTTTCTTTGATTTGTGTTTTCTCTGACTTGGCGTGTAGGTTGGCACAGTTAATTATATGCCACCAGAAGCAATCAAAGATATGTCTTCCTCCAGAGAGAATGGGAAGTCTAAGTCAAAGGTACTGAAAAGATTATTTACATTGCAATTATCTGGTAACAGTAGGGAATGCGCTGTTTTCTGAATAAACTTACCAGATAACAATTTCTTTAAGTTCTAAAACTTTTTAGGCCATTACAGAGACATTGCTGGTTTTTTTTTGTTTGCAATTCTTATTATTTTTCACCACTTATTCGTTTGTGAATTCTACATTTCCAAGTACAGCTGGAGAATGTAGTTGTTTTCTGGCCTGCCACTGGCTACTTTTCCACTGACTTTATCTCACTACCTTGATGAGTTTGTGTTAGCCTCTTGGGTGCCCTTTGTCAGGGACTCCTTTTGCCTACTGTGATGCCTTGGGCTCCCAGGCTAACCTTTCTGTACATCAGTGTAACCAAGTGGGTGCAAGCACAAATTGTCCCAGGGACCTGCATTCATTCAAGCCATAGATCTGCCTCTCTAAATTGTGCCTATAGACAGTGCCTATTATAAAATAAATTGAGGATTAAATGGGAAAGAATATATAAAGTACTTAGTACATTTATCCAGCTCAGAATCATTGCTTGATAAATGTGTTTTTTTGTTTTGTTTTGTTTTACTAAATTATATTCTCCTCCTTAGAAAATCTGGCTTTTAAGTGTTTTTCAAATAACTGGCATAAAATTTTGCCAAATGTTTTCAATAAATTCTTTTTATATTTGTTTAGCCTCCACTCTTCTTCTAAAACTTAACTTTCTTGTGTTTTTATTAGACTTTCTGTGGTTTTGTTCATCTTAAACAAGCAGTTCCTGACTTCATTTATCAATTCTATTTTCATTTGCTTTACAACTTCAGTACTTACGATAACCAGAAGCTTTTCTCTATGATTAACCATATTTATGGTTTTTCATTTAATGCCCGTGACAATGTACTTTTATAATGTCTATACCAGAGGTGAGGAAACAGACACATAGCATTACCAGTTAGTAACACATCTTCAAGATATGTTAAAGGTAATATTAATTTCATATAACTAATTATTTACTTGAAATAGCTGAAATGATTGAAATTGTGTAACTGGCTTAGATATAACTGATCTATTCAAAAGAATAGATAACTGAATTAGTTTTTTACTTTGAAGATGTTTTAAAGCTTGTAAATACTTGGGGATTTTGGACACACAAGCTCAGCATAGTTCTATAATACATGCGTTTGGGTTTAAAGTTGTATTATTTATTTATTATTTCCAATGGTCTTATCTGAAGGGTTGCATAATTTAAACAACCTTTAAAACTGTATACATACTTTGAACTTATATAAAAATTTATAATCCAATAATTCTGGAGAAAACAAGTAAACTTAAAACTTATAGTTACGTTTTTTAGTTTATATTTTCACAAGTTGGAAAGAATTTAATATTTTGTCTTAATTGGAATATTTTACTTACGAGGTTATAGAAAGATTTAAAGTAAAGCTCATATCTTCTGATGGAATAACCAACTGAAATGGAAACTAGAAAAAGATGTTTTGTCATGTTACCATAATGTAGTACACATTCATTGAGATTTAATTATGATTTTAAATATATATAATATATATGTTTTTACATTTTACATGAAAATAACAGCAACTTTTTTGTTTGTTTGTTTGTTTCTTAGATAAGCCCCAAAAGTGATGTTTGGTCCTTAGGATGTATTTTGTACTATATGACTTATGGGAAAACACCATTTCAGCATATAATTAATCAGATTTCTAAGTTGCATGCCATAATTGATCCTAATCATGAAATTGAATTTCCTGATATTCCAGAGAAAGATCTTCAGGATGTGTTAAAGGTAATATTAATATCATGTAACTAATTATTTACTTAAATGCTGAAATAATTGGAATTGTGTAACTGGCTTAGGTATAACTGTTCTATTCAAAAGAATTGCTAACTGAATTAGTTTTTTACTTTGAAGATGTTTTAAAGCTTGTAAATACTTGGGGATTTTGCAAAAGTGCCTTGGGAGAAATAATCCTATCATTACTTGAGTGAGATATCTAAAAAGCAACTTTTATAATGTAATGTAATCTGGAAATATACTTTATCAATGTCATATATGAAAACCTGCTTTGTTTCTCTTTAAAATATCTTTGTTTTAATAGTGTTGTTTAAAAAGGGACCCAAAACAGAGGATATCCATTCCTGAGCTCCTGGCTCATCCATACGTTCAAATTCAAACTCATCCAGGTATTACTTCTTTAAAAATTTGTCTGTTACTAGATTGGTAATATAAACAGTCTTTTACCTATTGATATAACAAAGACAGAATCTAAATTGCCTACCCTTTGTCAGCCTGCCTTTTTCCTTAAGGAAGTTCCATTATTATAAATAGTAAAGTAAATAAACTTTTTTTTCTTTACTTATGGTATTTATTTTTACTTATTCCAGATAAGGGGTTAAAATCAGTGATAAATTACAAGAATATCACTTGTGCTGTTAAACAAAATGTGTATTTATAATGGACTTATATTTTTCTTAGTGGTATTAGTGTATTATTGATTTATTTTATAGGTAACCAAATGGCCAAGGGAACCACTGAAGAAATGAAATATGTTCTGGGCCAACTTGTTGGTCTGAATTCTCCTAACTCCATTTTGAAAGCTGCTAAAGTAAGTATGTCTGTTCTTTACATTAATTTTAACTGTTTTATGTAGTGAATTCAACACTTAAGGAAACAGTCTGAAGGAAAGTTGGTCCAATCATCAGATCAGTTATGAAACATGTTTCTACATTTAGATACCTAACATGTGCCTTTTGACAAATGCAGATTTACTTGATTTGTATTCTTCTGCATACAGTACAGTTCAAAGTAGATCATCACATAAGGTGCATTCAGGAATATAATGTGTCTTTTAACTCAGCACCATTATTAACACAGCTTTTGAATTCATTCCTTTTAGCCAGTTTTTTCCTTAGAGACATTACATCTAATGGCTTTTTTGAAGCTGTATACAGCAGTCAACACAATTCTGAAAGCACAAGTCTCAAGCTGTTTAGCCTCCAATGTCCATTTATATCTATACCATGATTTTTCAAGCACCTAGTTATTACTAGAACCCCATGAATGCTTATTGACCAACTGGTTTAGCCAACAAGCAGTTACTAATTATATATTTTAGTTACACAATTATCATTAAATTACGGGAACTTAAACTATCAATACTCATAGCTCTTTAGATACGTATAAAGTCCATCTAAGTTGCCAAGAACTTGAGTACATTTCTGAAGGAATTTACTATACATTCACTGTATTTGCATTTATGTGATATGAGGTAACTGTTTTCTTAAATTTTCTCAAATGCTAATGGCTAAATCAATGGATTTAGTAATTAAAAGTGGACCGAATATGTTTTGTAATTGCTCTGTATTTTGTATCTCCATGTTTTAAATTTATACTAATATCTTGTTCAAAGCCTCTTATAGCTATAATTGGGGTAGATGAGTTACTTTTATCACTGAGGTTGTATGTTCCTTGAGGGCAAAGATGTCTGCCATCTTCATAAGTTAAATGTTAGCTGAGTCTTAAGTAATTTTTAAATACATGGATTTTAATATATATCTAATTATTATATTTATATAATAATTTGTAATGTCTTCTATTTATTAGTTAAAATATCATCTGTATAAAGTTTCCTTATAAATACATTTTGTATAGGAATTTACCTAAGACTAGCTTTATTTAAGAAAAAGTAAAGAGATAAGGCCTTGAAGTCTCATATGTATGTTTATTAGTAGCTCTGTTATATTTCTCTCATAGAAAGATTGAGTTACATCTCGTGATAGGTAATGCTTAAGACCAAGCTTGGTGTTTAAAATTCTTTATTATCTCTATTAGCTTATAAAATAATTTCCCAACTGTAAGAGCAAGAGTGAAATAAATGTATTATATTTAGAATACATCAAAATACATCTAATGTGACAGTACATTGAACTAAAAAATTACCAAACAGATTTGTGTTTTTAATTTCAGACTTTATATGAACACTATAGTGGTGGTGAAAGTCATAATTCTTCATCATCCAAGACTTTTGGAAAAAAAAGGGAAAAAAAATGATTTGCGGTTACTCGTAAATTGTCACATACCACCTATAAAATATATTGGACTGTAATACTCTTGACTCCTTGTGGAAATCTACATTTGAAGACAACATCACTCTTAAGTGTTATCAGCAAAAAAAATTCAGTAGATTATCTTTAAAAGAAAACTGTAAAAATAGCAACCACTTATGTCACTGTATATATTGTAGACTTGTTTTCTCTGTTTTATGCTCCTGTGTAATCTATTTGACATCATTTCACTCTTGGAATAGTGGGTGGATAGCAAGTATATTCTAAAAAACTTTGTAAATAAAGTTTTGTGGCATAAAATGACACTAACATTTCAAAGTTGTAAGATTGTTTTCTTTAAGAAAATGTATTGTTGGCATGGCAGCAAAATTCTTAATTAGTAAAAAGTAGATTAGGGAAGATGTGAGACTAGACCTTAGTAAATGAACTTCGAAAAGCAAATCCTGAAGTGTTTGAATTCCACAATAGACTTCCTAATTATTTCTGGCACTGATAACAACAGTCTATAATTTTAGGAAAGAACTTGGCTCTTTCAGATATTCTTCATGACATCTGCTGTTTTTGGTATTTAGAATATCATGCTGGATTCTGTGTTGTAAGCTGTATAGGGCATGCCCTCACTGTATGACTTGCTAGGTAATGGATAATTATAAATGTGGCCCCAGAGTCTCTTGACTGAATCTAATAGCTTAAAGTATCCTCACATATCATCCTTTTCTCAATTTTAAAAAAAAAAGAATTTAAGAGACTTTATTTTTTATAGCAGTTTTAAGTTCACAGCAAAATTGAGCAGAATGTGTAGAGAGTTCCCAGGTATCCTCTCCCCACCCCACCCCCACACATGTGATTACCTCCCTTGCTATCAGCATCCACCATATCAGCATTCCGCACCACAGTAGTACATTTATCACAGTCCGTAAACCTACCTTAACATATTATCACCCAAAGTCCATAGTTTATATTGGGGTTCACTCTTGGTATTGTATATTCTTTGAGTTTTGACAAATATATAATGACATTTATCTACCATTGTAACATCATACAGAATAGTTTCACTGTCTTGAAAATCCTCTGTTCTTTGTCCCTTCATCCTTCCCTCTCCCCTAATGCCTGGGAACCACTGATCTTTTTACTATCTCTATAGTTTTGCTTTTCCAGAATGTGACTGTCATATAAGTGGAATCATACAGTCTATAGCCTCTTCAGAGTGGCTTCTTTCACTTAGTAACATGTCTTTTTATGGCTTGCTAGCGTATATCTTTTTAGCACTGGTTAATATTCTATTGTCTGGATGTTCCACAGCTTATCTCTTTATCTGCTCAAAGATACCATGATTGCTTCCACATTTGGGGAATTGTGAATAAAGTTGCTATGTGAAAGTTTTTGTCTGGACCTAATTTTTTAGCTCTTTTGGCTAAATACTCCTTTGGGACCAAGGAATTTGATGCTAAATTCTATGTTAAGAGTGTTTAGTTGTGTAAGAAAGCTCCAAACTGTCTTCCAAAGTGGCTGTACTGTTTTGCATTTTCACTAGCAGTGCTTGAGAGTTCCTGTGGCTCCATATCCTTTCCAGCATTTGATGTCTGTGTTTTGGATATGGGGCATTCTAATGGGTTGGTAGGGGTATCTCATTTTAATTTGCATCTCCCTAATGACATGATGTTGAGCATCTCTTTATATGCTCATTTGCTATCTGTATATCTTTTGCCCATTTTTAAATTGGTTTATTTTCTTATTAAGGTTTAAGAGTTTTGTGTATTTTGAGTAACAGTCCTTTATCAGATGTCTTTTGCACATTATTTTCTCCCACTTGTGGCATTTCTTCTCATTCTCTTCTTTCCCAAATTTGTAACTGTGGTTATTAGTTTTCATAGTTCCTGGTTTTAAGTTAATGTAGTGTAATAGAGAAGTAGTAGGCTTAAACAGGAATTCTGCAAACCACACTCATAGAGAAAGCATGGTAAAAATTCAACCTGGAAGTCAGGCATTTGTCTACATGTGTTCATTGAGAATACTGTTTATTTTTTTCTTTTTAAAAGTATTTTAAAGTTTACTGTGTATGTAACAATTTTTTTTAATACTTGTCATGTTTAGAGTTAGAAATTATATTATGGGGAAAGCATCATTTTGTCTATTGCTTCAGTGGGTTCTTGATGAAAGTGTCTTGTTTGTTACAATTACTAACCTATAGTCAGAATCAGTTAATGTTTTGAAAAAACATTTTTAGGAAAGTATTGGCTATTTTTTTTGCCCTTTGAGCTTTCATGTCAATTTTATCAGTTCATTAAATTCCACACACAACATAATCATGTTGTGATTATGTTGTGTGTGGAATATTATCTTTGTCTTTGTGCTAGTCATGTTACTTGGGGGAAAAAAAGCAAGCATATGAGGTTTCCTATAATGGCATCTTCCAAAGATGGATTTCCAAATGCGGAGAAGATTTTTGCTTGCTTATACCAGATCCGAGAGGCTTGCCTAGGGCTAGAGTATTCCAAATTCAAAGCTTGAGGTTCTCAGAACCACCCAGGTGATACAAAATCACGTTGAAATCCACTTAAAAAAAAAAGAAGAAGAAAAGTTAAGCACACACACACACACACACACACAAATCCACTTGGTTTATTTCTAGAGGACACTTGTCCAGGGAGGTCAGCCCTTCTGGTTCCAACTTAAAGCGAACGTCAGGTGTGTCTTTCCTTAGGAAGTTCCTGGATTTTGAGTCTTGTTTATCATACTCTACCAGGTTGTCAAACCTGTACCTCAGTTTCACAGATGTTTCTTTTAAAGACAAATGCTTAGTTGTGCTTACTTCTCTGGGTTCTCGTCCTCATTAATATTTGGATTCCATAATTTCTCACTCATTTGAAAAACTAAAATTCATGCCAATTTATATTCCCACTATCAGAATTAAGAACTCATTGGTCTACAACATCTTTTATACTTAATATTGTCAGAATTTAAAGGTTTTTGCTATCATAGGTGTAAAATAGTATTTTTGCAGTGTCTTTAATTTTTTGTTTAGTAATGAGGTTGGGCATTTTGTCATATGTTTATTGACCATTCTTTTTTTTTTTTTTTTTTGCTATCACTGAAAAGCCAGGTCCTTACTCTCTGGTATTCATGTGTTTCATGTCATATTTATTTTTGGATTACCTTTTTTTATTTCTTTATAAGTGTTCTTTGTATTACAATTACCTATAGTCAGAATCAGTTAATGTGTTGAAAAATACTTTTAGGAGAGTATCGGCTATTTTTGGCCCCTTAGGCATTCATGTCAATTTTATCACTTCATTAAATTCCATACACAAAAGAATCATGTTGAGGCCGGGCATGGTGGTGGCTCATGCTGGTAATCCCAACAGTTTGACAGGCTGAGGCAGGGAGATTCCTTGAGGCCAGGAGTTTGAGACCAGCATGGGCAACATAATCAGATACATTCTTTGCAAAAAATAAAAATAAAAATAAATCAACTGGGTGTGGTGGTGCATATCTGTAGTCCTACCTACTTGGGAGTCTGAGGCAGGAGGATCAGTTGAGC